AAACTTGTTTCATTAATAATGTTTCTTCATCGAATAAAATTATTTTTAAAATTCCTGGAAAATCCTTTTATAATTATCCTCTTTTTTTATTAAGATTCTCTTCATTCGTTCGGGTTTTCCCCCCTTTTGCAATTGTAATAAAATTTATTGAACAAAAATTGTATGTATATAGGTAAATTACAATTATCATAAATTTAGTAATATTTCTCATACATATATGCTTACTTATATATTATACATATTTAAATATAAACCTTCGTAAAAGTAGTAACATTTAATATTAAAAATTTCCTCAATGTTTATAACATTCTTGATTCTTTGTTAGCAACCTTGATTTAAGAAAATTTTATTAAACAATTTCCATAAATATTACAGACGAGGTAAAAGTAGAAAAAAATAATGTTACTTGGGGTTTAAGCAAATAAAAAAAAAATTTAATGTGGTCAGCATATAACTAATCGCATTTTGCTTACTTCCTCAATAATATACATATATATATAAATTTCTATAGTTAGGTTTTTGCTAGTTTAATGAAAATATTGCCCGAAATTATGAAAATAAATTTTAAACACTAATTTCACATTTATATATGTATATGGTCTAGAAATAGATGTTATTTAGAATGGTTACTATGTTTTTTAAAATATAGCCGGTAACGTATATTTCACCGTAAGTAGACGTTCAGTTGAAACTACTTGATTTTCTCGTAAAACTTATAAACTAATCATATCTGCTAGACACAGATTATATACAAAATTTGATTTCAAGAAAATACATTAATTAATTTCCTAAATATATTCAAAAATGTAAAATTAATCCTTAGTAGGTTTGTAGTTGCTGATACCTAACATTTTCCGAAAATTGATGCTTTAACCTGCAAATTTTATCGCCAAAATGAGGCAAAATATAAATATTCGTCAAACTCGGTTTAGCCAAAACTGAAATACGCAAGTACGTAGATTTTTTCTAAGGAAACACATTTCCATTAAAAATTCGACATGTGAAAATTGATGCTATAACAATACCTCCCTTTTGTATGCAATGCGATCGGTAAAATTAAACCAGTCAAATAGTGACATAATGATTATAATGCATATAATACTTAAATGAAGAAGTAAGCAACAAAAAGAAACGTGAAAAAATCTTATACTTACAAAAAATACATGAATATCTGTAGGTACATAATTTTATGCATATTAAAAATTGTAATCGTCTGTGAAAGACTCTCGCTAAACCTGATTTTTTTATCATAATTCATAATCCATGTGTGTCCACATGCACGAAACATTTATGATAAAGTGCAAGCTAGGTGAACTTACATCTTCCATATAATTCGTATACACACAATGGAAATAACCGCAAATGAATTATTACATCATTGACCTTCAAAAACAAACAAAGTTAAAATAAAAAATAATTTCTTTACTTTCTGAAAATATTATTTTCTCCTTTATTTCTATTTTTCGCCCAGTCAAAAAATTATTAATGTACCTAATGGACGGTAACGATGTACCTAGATATTTTAAAATTTTGAAATGGTATTTTCTTAAACCGGATTTTTAAATAATTCTTTGCTTTATGAAAACATACTATTAAGCTCGACTGATTAACTAAGTCACCGTAATTTGTAAACCCCTAAATTTTGTTAATCAGTACAAAAATGTTTATTTAAAGCAATCAAATCACTTCCAGAAAATTCATATCAGCAAAATATTGGCTACGAAGTATTCTATAGCGAAATAGCAATCAATTGCATTAATATTGAACTTCATATTAATAAAATATGAATATAAACTTAAACGCACTAACTACTTCTACTTCACTTAAATATTTGTTCGAACACATTCCCTTTTAATTAATTTATTTTTTGAACAATCATTGTCATTGAAAAACAAATATCTCTCGGTGTTATAAAATTAACGAAAATTTATAATATCCTCCAACCACCACGATACAATTTTCTTCTTGTTTAAAAATACTAGAACAATTTAATTTACCTGTATACGATCAAGAAAAATAAAAAATACAAAAGATAGCGTGTTGATATGTCAAAGTTCTTTTCCAGAACATTTTTACTTTTAATTCTAAAACTTGACTAAAAAAAAAAAAACAAGTTTTGTACAAAAGCAAATCAAAAATATACCTGAAACTTAACTTTATTAAAAAGAGCATATTTATTGTTGTGTAGGTAAATTCAAATAGTAGAACAAAATGAGTCTGACAAGACAATATTCACTTATTACATATTCCAGTATAACATTGCCCTTCATTATAATATAAACTCAAAAATTTGGAAAAAAAATTTAACTTCTTAAAAATATCAGTCCTTCTATATTAAGTAATGTATTTTTTTTTTCGGCTTTCAAGGACTATCAAGTAAAAGACCTTGCTTTTGCGAATGATCTGGATTATGGTTATCCAAAAATTCAATATTGGCCGTAATTCTTGTTCTTTTTTATTTTAGTAAGTTTACAACTTCAAATAAATATTATCTAAAAAAAATTTTTTTTTGATGAGAAGAAGGAAAAGAATAATTAAGTAAAATATCATGAAAATTAAGTTCCTGTTCTAAACTTTTTTTTATAAAGCGAAGAGTCTGTAAAGTGGTATTCAATAAATTAAAAATGAATTTATAATAAGAAGTAAAACTACTGGAATTTCGTGATTTGGATTCAAATTATTGAAAATTTAAAGTTATTCCTAATAAAATATTGCACAAATAAATACAGTTATTAATACAGTAATTAAACAAGGGTGACTATAAACTCTATAATATACGTAATCTTTTGAAGTTTATTCTCTGTAGTTCTGTAGTACTCAATATTAGAGGTTTAGCCTACATTTTGAAATTAATGTAAGAAATGAAATTTTACATTTTTAGTTTATTGCATTTGATTTGCTATTTTGTGAAAATCATCAAATCAAAAATTACTTTCTTAATAAAGATATCTAAGTCTATAAATAATAATATTCGCGCAATACTTGTCTTATAACAGCGATAAATTGTTTAAATTATTCTTTTTCATTTAATTTTTGATTAAAAATTATTTTGTCTTTCAAAATTTGAGTAACTTGTAAAAAATTTTAAATTAAGTTAAATATCATTCATTCTACATATTATTCCTGTTTCTATACATGATAAATTTAAAATTTTACTGGCTGTGTAATATTCGTTTTAATTAGCAACGAACAAACTAAACGCAATATTTTTCCATTGATACTCAAATTACTCACATAGGAAATTATGAAGTTGCTCCTGATGTGTTAATTTTTGCATTTAAAAATTTTACAGTTAAAAATTTAACTGACTGGAATTTATTAAAATAAAAAGATTATAAATTAAATTGGAAAAAGATTTTATTAAATTTCAATTCAACTTTTTTATAGCACATGAGCAAATATTGCAAATGTTCCACACTTATTTAGTTTGACTTGAATAAAACTCAATTAAATTGTGTAGTTGAATAGCTTAACTATTACCTACGTACATATTGGTTATTCACACATTCATAATAAAATGTTGCATACTTTCAGGATAATCATATTTAATTTAATAAAGTGTGGAACGTAGTAGCTATTGAATATTATTCATTCAATTTTTATTTTTTGATTTTTTTAACTTCTTTAATTTTTTTAAGTAGAACTCGAATAATTAAGTAAGCAAGTAGAATTTAATTGTAATTTAAATATTTTTTTTTAAAGTTTTTAAATTTTAAAATCAACAATTAATTAGAAAAACTAATAAGTAAAACAATTTATTCAAATTACTTCGATATGAAAGAAATATACATAATATGTATGCATATAAATCTAATTTTTTGTCATAGAATTAACAAAATTATCAAAACATTTTATTAAAACGTGAGCAGATTTATTATCAATCTCTTCAAAATTGCTCTGATCTTTGAAATTAAAAGTTATTCATCATATTCATTAAAAGGCTTAAAACATAAGTTTTCTGTAGCTCATTTCAGACACTTTTCTTTAACTTTTGAGTTAAAGTTCTCCAATAACTTCAAAAAGACTAAATAACTCCCAATCTATTTCAAATAAATTAATATACATTTACTTTACTTTAAAGTTATTAGATTTAATAACCCGAACCTTGAAAATATATTTTAATTACCTTATAACAAATAAAAAATTTAAGTTTTTTAAATAATTTAATTCAGAATTCTTTTTAAGTACTGCAATTTTTCACATAAAATTATGCAACTTACAAGTGCTCAGTTGCATTTTACCTACTTCAAATATTGATAGTATAGAAATTTGTTCTGGTAATAGAATAGACATATAAACATAAAAACATCATGTTTTAATTATTTTTCCCAAATTAGATATTATGTACTTTATTATTTAAATTAACATCAGAATACAAAATATTAATATGAAAGTAACTAATAAAAAAAATTTAATTAAAATACAATAGGTATTCATATTGTTAATCAATTATGTATACGAAAAAAATATGCAAAATTAAAATTAAAATATATTTTTTTTAATAACATAAAAATTAATGTTAATTTTTAATAATATGTAAGTGATAGTGTTTGTCGAATATAATTAATTTTGTAATGGCCTAGAATTTTCTATAATATATTCTTATGATTTCAATTTTGAATTTTTCATAAATATTTTTTTTTTAATTAAATTGCAAAATAGTGCAATCATGAACTTTCAGTTTTAGAGTATGTTTTTCATACATATTTGCAATTAAAAAACCGTATATAATTATTCTTAGGTCTTTCAAGTACATATTTTAATTTGGCATTAATATTTAATCAAAATATGCGAGAAAAGGTCAGGCCACTGATTTTAAATGTAGAACAATATTATACGACACACATACAAGTCAAGGGTAAATTACAAGTAAAATTAATATTTTTTTTAGTTTTATATCACCTTTCTAGACTTTTATAATTTTTTTTGCAAACAATTTAGAATTCATAATTTCTTTATGAGTTTAGGGCAAAAAACAAAAAATATAAACAAAACACATATAAAATAAAAAAAAATATTTTTTATTTTTAACTCATTCCATCTAACAATATTTTATTTATATTAAGGTTTAAATCAAATTTTCTATATTATTATGTAAGTAAAATAAATTTATATTTTTAAAATATATTAAGTATATTTAATTGAAAATCTGATAAAAAATAATAAAATGCACTTTTACAAAAAATTTACTTTAAAAAATTTATTTTTAATATATTTTTTTGTAAAACTTGCATCATACATAATATTGTAAGATTTTAAACTTAAAAATAAATTTAAGAAAACTCACATTTAAACTTATTTTTTTCTTCTGAAAAAATATATTATGACTATTTCTTAACTCATTTTAAATATTTCCTTTGTTGTATAAACATTGTGCCTGTTCTTTTTTTTTAAATAATTTTAATTGATGAAATATTCACAAAATAATTTACATACAAGGGTGAATTTTTAAAATAATTTACGAAAAAAAAAACTCTCCATTTTATACTCAATATTTCTTCATTTTTTGTTTTGTTTTTTTGGCAATTATCGAAAAATTTCACAAAAATTTCTTTATAATTTATATATACAATGTACATAAATATATCCTATACATTACCGAATTAATATTTTACTTAATATATATATATATATACTAAATTCTGAATGATTTGAATGTAAATTAGTTTAAAAAAAAATTAAACTATACCCAAAAACCCTTTAATTTTAATTACATTTAACATGAACATAATTGATAATTGTTGCTTCTTTTCGATCTTCTTCTGTCATATCTTTATCATCCCAACCCCATACTAAATTTTCTTCCTTTTCGTGATCTAATTGTCTTATTAGTTCATCAATTTTCTTTTGTTGACCGGAAACTTTATGAGATCCATCACCTGTCCGTAAAATACGTTTGCGTATCATATCATCTGAAACTGTTTTTAGATCATATGCCCAACCTTAAAATACATAAATGAAAATTATATTAAGTAGTATTCAAATACTTTAACAATTTATTAAAACATATTATTACAGAATTTATTATTATTTTATGAAATATAAATAGGATTATATTGCGACAAGTGTAAGTTAATTAAAAACTATCATTTAATTTATTCCGTTGGCTAATTAAAAATTTATGATTGAATATATTATTGAAAATGCAAATTTATGATATTGAAATTTTGAATAATTTTGAATAAATAGTGAAAATTTTTATAATAGACACAAAATATTATTTTATTATTTGAATTTAATTACGGCGAAGCGAAACAAAAGAAGACATCAAATGAAATTCAGTTATTCATTGCACAGTTATGGTTAATTTTTCGAAATCCTTTGTATTCTTTAAATTGTTTAAATTAAAAAACGCTGTTTTAATTCTTATATGTATGTTTGAAATCCTGTTGTTTTATATAAAATATGTCTTTATATTTAGATGCATACAAAAATTGGTTAGCACTTTTAGTCATTCCAAACTAATTTCCATTAATTAAAATAACTGACTTTTTGCAATTTTGTTGTTGTTTTTTTTTTGAAATTATTTTATAACTATGAAGTTTTTCCTAACCCTTAAAATTACAAATATAAGTCAAATTTACGAAATTTTAAATATTAAAACGTACATTTATATATGAACTTACCAATTTTGGCAAAATTATCTATAAAAACTTTAGTATAATTGAAAAAGTAACTGCCTAATTCTGCTGCTTTATAATCCCATGGAAATACATGATGATAATTGTGGTATCCTTCACCATTAGCAATTGCAATAACAAATCTATTATCAGATGGATTAATTGATTTATCGTACGGTTTGAAACCCCATAAATGAGCAGCACTGTTAACAAACCATGTCAAATGTAATGAAAATATATAACGGAGTATTGAAGAGACAAAGAATGTTTGACGGAATTCATAACCAAAGAAATACCATGGTATTACCGCTGGTAAAACAAAAGATAAGAACGGCATCATATAAAAGTAATATCTGAAAAGAAAAAAAACAGTTTATTATTACATAATAATATTTGTAAAATATTTCCTTAAAATGAAAAATATAATCAAACAATGTGTTATATATTATAATATGTAAAAAGTCAATGACGTTAGGCAAAGTTAGAGTAATTGAATTAATCCTCACTTATCAAAATCTCGAATTTTTAACAAACTTTTAAAAAAATTTTATCAACACGACCTTGTTTTGGCTAAGAATTTTCAAATTTCCAATAATACTGCCTAAAACAATATTTTCTAGTGTACTTCGTTTATATTTAAGCCAATTTACTCAATTCGAACACTTTTGAATTCCATTATTAAATTACAACTAATTGAAACTTTTAAATAAATACTTACTTTTTCTGGAACATTGCAATTGGATCGGCTTCTATATCACTCATATCTATTGTTTTACCTTTTTCCTTAACATCGGGATGTTTTTTCATTAATAACCAACCCATATGAGAGAAAAAGAAGCCACGTTTTGAATTATGTGGATCTGCTGTTGTATCACAGAATTTATGATGTACACGATGATCTCTAACCCATTCATGTATACAATTTTGGAATGCAACCGTTTGAAGAATCATCAATATTAAACGTAATGGCCATTTTGCTTTATAAGCTTTATGTGCCCATAATCTATGAGCACCTGCTGTCACTCCAACACTACTAAAATACCCAACAATGTGACCTAAATACATATATGAAAATAAAATTATTAGAAATCTAATTTGAAGGTTAAAAATATAGTTTTATATCTCATATTCTATAAAAGAATAAAATATTGTAGCATATTTGGAATTATTTTTATTAATTTATTTACTTTTTTCGCATCATTATGTGGATTTTATTCGTAGAAGCTTTATTATGACTTTATAAATTATAATTATGCATATCTACTAAGTATTCTAAGTGACTCTATTACCTTTTATTTAATTTAAATACTAAATTAAAACCTTTTAAACTTTTTATTGTAATTGAATGACGCACTTTTTCAAGTGCATAATATAAGAAAACAATAAAAAATTATTAATTCAATTTACATCGGCACCTAACTAATTATTATATAGAATAATTAATATACTTCCGAACTATTATAAAAGTCAATTTGAACGCTTTCTCCCATAAATTTATAACAAATAACAATGTTTTAATATATATAAATAATATATGGGATCATATATACATGCATATACATACATATATACAAATTAATATGTATGTATGAATATCAAAAAACTATAAGAACAATTGATGCGGCAGCACGTCTACTTTTATAGAATTTCAATATCACGTTATCGCCGGTTTACTTTATCATCGATCATAAAAATTTTGAATTCTTTTTAGAATACAAATTTTTTTATACATACATATGTAGCTTCTCATAAATAATTTTTTATATTTCAAATGTTATAAGAATTCTCCTAATATCTACAATTTCATAAAGAAAGAAGGCTTCGGTTCAAATATCAATATTTTTTTTTATAATTCAATTACGTATTTCATTATTTCTTTTTATTACACATTTGACATTAAGCGACTGACATGTACATTTACATATGTACATATATTTTTTACATTTTTGTACCTAATATTAAAATAATTAATATTGCATTTAATATTCTGAAACTATTTTTTATAGTAATACATACAGTGCGTATGTAGCGCACGAAATATATTAGTAAAAATAAAAGTATTTTATTCCGAATAAAAGGGAGTTTTCTTTTCATACACCTTAAAAAAAATTTTCATTGAAGAATTTTTTGAACTCTGAAACATCCTATATATGTATGTATATGTAAATTTTGTGCTCAATAAGTTTTATAATAATTTAGCAATTTTTATTGAAACTCGAAAACTACCCCAAATATTCTCTAATCAAATATACATACATAATTTTAACACGAATAACTTAAAATTACTTTCAACTCGTAAATTTCAAAGAAAATAATAATTTAATTATTAGAATTTTATCTCAAGATCGACTCTGACCCATAACATTACGAGTATGTTCTTATTCTTAACTCAATCACAATAGCGAAATTAAAGGAAGTGTCTGCCGACTACCGGCATATATTTTTGTGTAGAAATTTTTTGTACATATGATTTTTCTAAGATGACGAGTTTAAATAATAAAATATTTTTAATTTATTCGCACCACCCAACACCAAATAACGTATATAATTCGTCAGAAAATCCTTATTGGTGTCCTACAAGTCCACTTCGTAAATTCTATGAAAGAAAAATTCACATTTTTTCAAATTTTTTTTCTGATAGATTTACATTCTTACATACGTACATATATTAAAAATTTTTTTGTTTTTCACTTATTTTTGTATTAATTATTCTTTTTTTATTAGATTGCTTAGTTTAAAAACATATTCATTTTTAAATTAAGAATGCTAATGTAAGAAAAGTCATAGGTTATTTTTTAACAATAATATTTTTGTATTGTTTTTTTGAATAATTGAAAAATTTAAAAAATATTGTAATAAAAACTATGAATTAAATCAACGACAGGTGGCTCATTTCATTGCCATAAATTGCCGCATTTTCATAATTAAAATAATTGTAACATTTATTATTTGAAAATATGTTTATTTATTTTAGAACAATGGGAAGTCTTGAAATTATTATTTATTTAAATTTGAAAAAGTTCTAGAATAAATAAATTCCCAAGCTCTGTTAGTATTATTTAAATCCTTAAATTCATTTAATAAACGCTTATTACGATAATACACGAATTTCTTTTTAAAACCATTTCTTCTTTAAAAATTTCGAAAACTTAAAATGTAGTACTAAACCTGATTTGACAAATAAATTATTTATTTTAATTTTTTTGATGAATTTTGAATTCCTTATATTTTTCAAAATGTCAACAAATACTGTAGTTTTTTCAAACAGCAAAGACCAAGTCTTTTGCTCACTTTTATATTCAGATATTAAATTTAATACCATTTCTATTTCAAGCTTAATACGATAGAACTACTACAACTTATTTTTGTAAATAAGGTGATTAAATGATGATAAAAAATTAATAAACAAGAAGCGTGTGAAACATTATCTCTCAGATCATTAATTGTATAACGTATGCATACAAAATAGTCCCATATATTATTTAAAAAAATTTGGTGATTTAATTTCTTCACCAATAATTTTAATATTAATTTTTTTCCTCTCTTTTTGTAAATATTATTATTTTCACATGAAATATGCATGTATATATATATATGTGTTTGTAGTACACTAATATAAAGCCAACTACATCATATTTGTGAACTTCGATATTTGAATTCAAGACACGTTTACCGGAATTTTAATCACAGAAAATTTTTTCTAAAAACAATAAATTTTTAGCAAATTATTTCTTTTTTTCTGTATTTCATGATAATAATTGAAGTTAAAGTTCTGATTTTCATATTAATAAATTATTCTTATTTTTAATTTGCACATTATGCACAAAACATTATAAAATCTTCGTCCTGTTGCTCAACGGAATTTTTAACACCAATTTTATTTTGGCCCCCATTCATTCTTGTTAGACTTTTTCAAAAAATTAGTAAATATTTTTGTAATTAATGATATTCCAGAGAACCGTTAATTTGAGCTTTACTTTCTTTATAAATAAAGTATTTTGGAAAAGCAATACAAGGAATCGATATATCCCGTACTCTTTTATTCTGTATTTATTTAATACACAAAATTCAACTTTATAATTTTAGTAATTCAAATCATAATTCAAAGTAACTGTTCTCACAGAATTTAAAAGATAATTAAATTAAAAATGAAAATATATAAAATAAATTACTGTAAATATAAAGCTTATATAATTGTTCTGTAAAAATTATATAAAGCCCATACAATGCCCCAGTATGTAAAATAGCAAATGCAATAATATTTATCCAAACAAGATCTTGTTCAAAATATCCAGTTTTTGTTTTCGTTTCATCCTTAACAGCTAAATCTTCCTTCGATTTAAATATTTTTAAATTTGAGTTTTCTTTTTGATTTCCATGTTGTAGTGTAGAACATTGAACATCTGTATCTAATGGTATATTATTATTTACTTCAGTTGAAATCCGTTCTCCACCATTTTTTGAATGTACTTTCTCTACTTTAGCTTCCGCTAATAAATAAGTACTTCCAAGACTGTTATTAGGTGCCATATTGTTGTCTATATATGTATATAAAATGAGAAATAAAAAAAAATAAAAATTGTTATAATTAAATAATTTTTAAAATTAAAAATATTGTAAAAATTCTAATAAATTATCGAAGACCTTAAAATTATTGAATTAAATTGATTGTATATTAATTGGTTGAATTAATTTACATACTATTGGAACTTGATTAAACACTAGTTACATTCTCAGTTTTCATGCTGCAATTCAATAATCTTAATACGTGATTGTCCTTTTATTGAAATTATTTACATTTTAAGCTAATACCGTACATTGAAAAGCTTTTGAATTAACATGAAAATTACAAAATAAATTATATTTTTCATAACAATATTAAAACATCATTGTTATGAACCTTTTGGTGTCATAAATCAAATATTAAACCTAACGTAACCTTATGAAATACGTACAGAAAAAATTAAAATATATTGTATATAAAAAAATTTTAAGTTTTGAGTATAGGTAAAGAAAAAAAAAAGACCATTTATAGGGGAAAGAAAATTTATTGGCCACATTCTACATATCATTTTACCAAAAAGCCTTTGTAAAATTAGATTTCCAATTGGGTCAGTAAGTTTTTTAATTGAATTAGAGCACAGTAAAGCTAAATTTTTGTTAGAAAATTATATTGTAACAACAGAATTAGAGTTTCAAAGCACAATTTTCAACAACATACAACATTACGTATAAAATTTATTGTTGTAAGAAGTAACAAATAATAATTACTTTAGCCGAGAAACATTAACCCTGAATATTTACTAAAAAATACTCAAATTTAGCAAAATGTCAGCCAACATATTTCATTGTTTCTAAGATCCATAGAAAAGAAAAACGTTCAACAATCAAACTATAAATTTAATCGAATTTTTATATTTTCAATTCAAATAAATAATTATTAAATACCAATCTTCAAGAAATGAGAAAAAATAAAAATTTTAACCTCAATGAAAAATAAATCTAAATAAATCTTAACTCAATACAAACACACGAACACATTATATTAACAAGCACCTATATATGTATGTATAAATGTATTATGCTTTTCCATCTACGATATTTTCCCAAAGATCTCTTGATAACCATCAAGGCGATTCGTATTGTGAGTAACATTAAAAAAAAAACGAAAAAAAAGAAATACAGACTAACATTACAATAATAATAATAATAATATAGAAAACTGAAATTGTCAAGTTTATTTTAGCTTTTCTTTTACATTAATACTTATACTAGTCATTATACATACATGCATACATATATAGGTATAATTATTAAAAAAACTAAAAACCGGTCACAGAAAAGACATTCCTATATACACCACAATTATTTAATTTTAACTATTATAAAATTTGTGTGCATAAAACTGTTATATAACATTTTAGACTAAAATGAAAATGATCTTCAGAAAAAAAATTATGAAAATATTACTACCATGACCATGAATTACAAAACAGAACAGACAGTTTATAATCAAATAAAGGGAGAAAGGGAAATAGAGGAAATTAAAGAAAGAAATACTGTTATTATAAAACAACAACAAAAAAAATGTTCACTTTTAATGTTATTTTATTTATAGAACAAAATGCTTTATAAACTCTACAGGTGGGATAAATATTATGGTGGGTTAAAAAAGAGAATTATTAAGGAAACTTCAAATATTTTATTTTTTCTTATTATTATTTTTTGCTATCTGGGACAACAGTGACCATTGTCTCGATAAAAAATTTTTAACAAGTCAAGGTTAAAATCAAGTTGTACTATTTATTGTAGTATTTATATGTATATACAAGTTCAAAGTAAAATATAATTTTTCTTTTTCTTCTAAGAATTTAAAATGAATTATAGGCCAAGAGTACTGATCAATTAAGATACCAATTTTCCAAAAATTTAACCAAAATTTCCTCAAAATTCTGTAGAAAAATACAAAGTAATTATAAATTAAATAATAAATCAAAAATGTTTTGTTGAGGGCTACGATACTGATGACAAACGGAATTAAAGATTTAAAAGATTATTCATGTATTTAAGCAATTATAAATACTTAAAATTTAAATAAAATCTTATATTTTTAGTTTTGTTAAGAAAATAAAGGTAACAAATTTTCTATTAGGAATGAATAAAATTAATATGGGCACACATGTGAGTATCTCTACTTTATTTTGGCAAAATAAAAATAGGTCTGTCCAAGATAAAATTCTCCTGCAAATTTTTTTCCTGCAAAAAAAATATTAATAACTCACATATTTACTCTTAATTTTATGCTGTCCAATTTCTATCTTGAACAAATGAATTATCTATCTTGGACAGAACGTTAAACTTGTATTTAAAACAGAATTTTTCTCCTATAGAATTTTAAAAAATTTCAAATCGTTGTTTAAAATTGCAAATAGTAATAGTTTCTTTGTTATATTTTAAATTTGTTTAAACAATTTTGAAACAAACGCACTAAAATTTTGTTAAGAATTTAAATAATATTCATGTCTCCAAGTTATGATAAATGTTAAAAAAAAAAATTCAGATTTAAAAGCTTCTAGTCATATTTCACTTATGAAGTTTTAAAATTATAATCTTAAATTAGATAAAATATCGATTACAAACCACGTGTTGTTACAATTGACGATTTTTTTAATAAAAGTTTAATAAAGTAATTTAAATTTTCATTTATACTTGTAGTTTATAGTTACAATATTAAATTTAAAAAATAATAAATTTCTAATATTTATATATATACATATATATACAATTGAAATTCAATTAAAAATGTAACCAATGTTACTATAATTTTTCCAAATAATTAAAAATTAATTTTTTTTTTCAAATTTCAAAAGAACACTACTTAATGTTAACAAATATAACATTAAGACTAACTTAAACTTAAAAATGTTATACAAAATATTATTTTTTTTTATATTAATTATTAATTATAATGTTTAATTTATATGATAATATGAGAATTTTTAAAAATAATTAAAATCATATGACAACAATATCATATTCGTATTTCATTTATGTATTATGCATTACAAAAATTTAATTAACAATTTATGTGCATATAATTAAATATAATACTTAGAAGTCAAGGTAGAAGTCTTAAAGGGTTATTTTAAATTTAAAATATAAGTGATTTGATGCGTGAAACAAAAATATTTAATAAATTTGTAATTAATAAAACCATCATTATACATAGATGACGTACATACGTACTTGTACCGTAATAATTAGAATAATAAGGGAAAAATAATTACATACAATTTAATTGTAAAATAAATACAAGAAACTTAATAATTAAAATGAAAATTTGAGAATGCACGCAAAATATATTTACACATATAATGAAGATGTAGTTGCTAAAAATCAAGATGAGAATGAAATAATTTCCGCCAGTTTACAGTAAAAATTGGGATGACACATGCAATGACAACAATTATTGTACATAATATAAGGTTAAGAAGGAAAAATAATTCAATATAGGTATATACTTCCGTAATAAAAAAAAATTAATTGAAAAATTATAATGTATGAAAAAATTGTATATAAATTTACTTAGCACCTAAAAAGATTAAAAGCAGATGATTATCAAAGAAAAAATTTCGATTTGAATTGTTTTAATTATAAAAATCTTAATTTTTATTACAACAAATGATATAGATTGTATAACATATAAAATAAGTTTGAAAACCAGTACCTTTTTGACCAGTACCTGAAAATTTTCTGAATTCAGTAAAAAAAATTTTAGGGATATTTGAATTCTTTATTTATTTAAATCATTACTATAAACTTCTAAAATATTATTTTAGGACAATTATAGGAACAGGATTTTAAAGTTTGATTACAATATTTTAAAAATAGGTCTAAATATCACTTTATATGTTTTCCAGATTATTTTCATAAGCCCTTGTTGTCGCTTATAAAAGGTGTTTAGCATACAAATACATTACATTTCATACAAATTCCAAATTATAAATACTAAACTAAAAAAATTATTTGTGAATGTTATTTGTATGAAAAATATATGAAAAATGCATTTTTCGCATGATTTTGAATATATTTGATGCGTTTTACTGACAAAACTATGAGAGATAGAGAACAATATTATATGAGTTAACTAATAAAAAATAACAAAAATTTTTGAGGCATTTCGAGTATCTGCAAAATTCTAACTCAAAGTAATTTTGATCTTGATCAAAGAATCATCCCTGAAATTATTTGCCACCTTATGCAAAACATCTAGTATACATAATTACTCATTTTAAGAAAATATTTGCAATTTCTTGTTTAACCCTATATGCTTTTTTAATGTTAAAAACATAAAACCAAAAATATTATTAATCAGCATTAAATTTGTTAATCGACATTGTTAAAAAATTTAAATCGATTTTAACTGTGAATTAAATTACTTTCTCTATTTTTCATTTTAACAAAATCAATGCGGTGTGCGTACTTTTAATGTAATAACGAAGCAATTGAGTTCGATATATGTAAGTACATACATATGTACATATAAATTTAATTTTTTTTTCTTTTGTTTTCTCTTAATCACAATGCGTAGTTTTCAATTTTCTTTTGCATAATTTATAATAATCTCATTAAGGTGATTGAACTCATATTTCGAGTGATCAAAAGTTGAAAAAAGAAAAATTTTGCTAAAACTATAAACTTTAAATATTCTATGTATGTTATGTTATTATTTGTACTCCTAATTTTCTAAATTTGACTTATTTTCAAGGATTTTCAATTTGTATCGAATTAATTATATAATGACGAAGAAATAGAATGAAAATTAAAATCAAAAGTTTGTGAATGAATTACTATAGTGATTGATTCTCCTTTTAAAAACGAGAAAGTTACAAATTTAGCGTGCACAGCGCTTAGCTACAAATCATTAGATAATACTCGTATGTATATATATATGTACATATTTATAAGGCTATTGAATTTATGCAAAATATGAATAACCAAGAAAATTATAATAAAAACTAAATTAATTTTATATTAT